GTAACTCTAAAGGTAGACGGAACGCGTAAACGCCGCACAACACTACCGAGACCAAGAGAAAGAAGACTGGTCAATAGTAAGAGGGGTTTTACTACCTCAACCAAAGCAACCGTGCTTTCTACACCTGTCCTCTGCACGGCAGTAACGTGTAAGTCAGTGGATAGTGAGCGGCGCTATATCACATCTAGTAACTTATTCACGATGGTCGTTACCATCCCCCGTAGCTCAGTGGTCTCAACCACGGACTGGCAACAGTCGAGTTGCGGGTTCGAGCCCAACCAGGGCCCCATGGAATGCGCACTGCTGACGATTCCCGTAAGGATGAAACGCGCGTACAGTGCTTTTCCGAGCGTGTGACGGCTGTCTGAGTGAGCCTAGATGTGATGAATTTCTTCCTATAACATTCAACTCTCCCTACTACTCTTCTGTACACCATATTTATAGGTTACTAGAACATTAGTAGATGTATAACCTATGAGGGAAAACTTACGTTTGTTAACACATGAGTGGCCATGTAGTGATCCTATCTCCTTGCAGAGATTGGATGAGGTCGATGCTGTTGCGACGTTGGACACACCACAGTTGTTGAGCGAGCTCGGTAGATAAGGCATTGACATGAACACAGCTTAAGAGGCAGACTGTTAACTTGAGATCAGCCCGGTAGATATAATGGTGGCACTGGGGCGGGTTCAGCGGTAACTGTGCGGCATACGCCTGCGTTTTCACTGAGGACAATTCAGTTGTGATCTCCGTAGATGAGTGGACCCTTGGCGGCAGTTTCCGTGGGAAGAGCTACGCTCGGAACTACATAGTTTAGGTCTCGGCATAGCGACTGTTTTTCGAGCCCGATAGTGTACTGGCGCCGGTAAACCCCGGTTAAGTGTGGAAGCCCTGTAGCAGATTACGACTATCTCTATCCTCTTATCCGCTTAATTTGTGTTTTATCACCTTTCTAGCGGATTGTTTGATCTTTCATGGCAGTAATTTTTGTCTGCTTTTATCGTTCTTTGTTGTCCCCATTTGACCTACATTTTTGGCATGCGATTACATCTTTTGTTCAGGAAGATCTGCGAGGACCAACCTAACGGCATCTGTCTTAGCTAGCTGTTTTTCACCCTAGACTGACTACCCGACTGGCCAATTCGCTCTTGCGTTACCGCGCTGAGGATTTTGGCGTCTTCTTATAATCGTTACTGCTGCATGACAACCAGTCTCAAATGGGCAGAATAGTGTTGGTAATCGGTGGTGAAGACAAAATCAATTGGGCCTTCACGACAACGCGATTTATCACTGAATCAACGTGTTGACTCACGCAGCAGCTTGGCTCCAACTTCAACTGATGCAGAGTTGTTCTCAATGTGACGCACAACTAACAAGGCACAACTGATGAGTGGTGGGGATTTCATGTACTTTCAGATGTAGTTCGTCGCAATCCCGTCTAGTCAGTCAGGTTCCCATACCTTTCTAAAAGCACCAGACGCCTGTTTCTACCTCCTGGGTCTCGTCATTGGTGTGCGTTCCTCGGTCCCCTGCCGAGTTCCGATCCCGTGACTTCTGGATGTTAGCAACTTGTGCCACTAATTCTTGGATGACAGCGGCGGACTTGCATGACTGACTTTGACAACGATATAGCGGAACCCGGCAGGGATCTGAGGTACTCACGCCACTGCTAAGACCCGAAAGGTTGGAATTGGCTGTGTTGGAACGTGTCTGACTGAGAGGGGACTGTGACGAATTACGTCTTAAATAGCAGGGTTTGAAATAGCAGGGCTTGGCACTCGGCGTAGGGGAACTGCGAGTTGTGCCACGTGATACAAGAAAACCCTGGAACAGTGTCCGGTCTGTGCTTGTACTTATATGGTAGATGCCAGTCAATCAGGGATAACCCACCCACCCGTAATGAGCCACTGTCGGACACAGGAACTTCAGTTAGAAAGGTGTTTATAAAGTGATCAAGCAGCTACGTGTATGCTCGTTTAGTGGGTATCAACTTGGCAGGGCAGTTCCATTTAAACACCGGGGCACATAACCGACCCTCTCAGCTCCGTCTGAGTTCGTGGCACGTCTCTAGACTGCGTTCAGGACGTTCGACTACTACCGGCGTGCTCATTTACAAAGACAGCGTCACATCGGTTTTACTTCTGGTCATACAGGAAGATCTTTCACCGATTCTCAGTACTGATTCTATCCCTACTCCTGCTTTCCTTCATTTCAACCATGACCGTCTAGTTCATTCTTCCTAGGACAAAGTGGTACGAGCAGCTGTTCTCCGTTTGTGTGTAGTGGCCACTTGTGGACCACTAGCAATACCTATCAGAGGGGTCCCGTTCTCATTATCAGATAAGTTCACTACTGTTGAACTAATTGGTGCAGTCTGCCCGATCATTGGTGTTCATGGGCCAACAGGCTGAGTTACTCGAATCGCCACAATTACAAAATCCGATGAACTCGGGTGTATACTTGATCATAGTCATTTAAGAGTTCCTAAAGCTTACTATTTGCTGCTGAACTTAACGACCGTGTTGCCACTGATTCCCAGAGAATCCAAGGGGTGTTAAAGAAAACTTCAGGAAACTACTTATGCCTATCATTATCCTTAATACAGCTTCAATTCTCGTGTATCGCGTATCTCCGACATTCGCTTGCAAGACAGTAGCGTCCTGATGCTTTCACACTTATTATGCTCCGATGCTAGTGCTGTAGCATACACACTTTGGATCTTCGACAATACCGAGGCATTTAAAGTCTCGGGATCGCCATCACTAAACGTCCGGAAGCTACGTTTCTTACCTTGATTCCAGTGTACAGAATGGTTTGTATAATTTGACTTGCAAACTCCATCGGAATAATGAATCAGCGACTGAAGACAAGGTGTATTTTTTCGTTTCAACCTACACCGCTATTCGGAGGAGGTTAACAGCAGTTCTCTGGGTGCATAACTGGATAGTTGCGGGCGACATTAATGCTCAAGCCGATCGTCTATCAGAATCAGAGCGTCGCTTTGGGGTCGACGCTTATTTTATTGACAATGGTGATCACTTTCTTCAGCTGTGTGCATGTTTCCAGCTCTATAGCTGCAACGCGGACTTTCATCACAGGCTTGTGCATCGAGTTTCATGAGAATCACCGAATGACAGGTTGCATTGAACTTCAGTTTCTCACCTCGCCATCAGTAACGAGTGGCGCGCATCAGTGCAGGATTGTCGTTCGGTCTGGAACACTTGCTTAGATCATGCCCTCGATCTGGTGCATTCCCGCCTAACACTCACTCTTCCCACTCCGGCGAAGTGCTCTACTTCAAGTGCTTGCTCGTCAACTGTATTCGCAATTTGCAACTAAGGCATGCCGGTTTGAATTTCAGCATCAGGTGTCAATGAGGAATGAGGTAGACATACCGAATGCGGACTTGAATTGCCTGCAATGCGCATTGCGGAAGACACTTGCAAATGCTTTCCCTCTTCGCGTGAGGTGTTTGAATGCTCGATGGTTCTCCGATGTTTCGATGGGTTTAATTGGTACACGAAAATCAGTCCCATCCGAGCTTGCATTTCCAGGTTTCTGTAAGTGGGATCCTCAGTATAGACCGGGTGCCTTACTGACTACCGATGTACCGTGAGGCAGAGTTGGCAATCGCTATTGGGATTACAGGTTGTCCCAGTTTACTCGACATGCGGATCTAGGCGACGTTCCCATGAATGAGCTAGTAACTAAGATGGATGGACAACTGACTTACTATCAGCCGCGTCGAGTAGAACGTTTTGTTGAGCAATTTGAGGTGCATCCGCGTTGTTAGCTGGGTCATCTCAACTCCGAACTAAGCCTTTTTGCGAAAGAAACTCCACCTAAGCTAACGTCACAGCATAGGAACAAGTCTCTTGACTCACACCACCTTCCGTCATTGTTGCTGGGAATAGTGTTTGCTCACCAGAGACTCTCCTGTCTTCTATGTTCGCCGCTCTTCGGTGCAATGGCGAATTGCCCAATCACCGATGGTTGTCCACCTTCATTCTCACATTAGAAAGAACGAGAATGAAAACTCTGTCAGGCGATTGGTTTGCAAAACTAAGTAGACCTAATACGTGACTCTTTTGACGCTACACTTATATGTTGTGCATGCAATGATGGATATATTGTGGAAGAGGGCAGGACACTGCTGAGTTAGCTGACGCACTGGATTGCGTCCTCCAGCATATGCTTTAAATCTTAAAAGTATAGTGCGCCACTGCGGGACGGCTGATGCACCGCCGTCTCTCATCAGCACCAAACAACTTTTCTAACTGCCCTTTCTGTTCGCTCGTTCACATGATTGTATCACCCCTGATTACTGATTGGAAGCAGCAAGGAGAGCTATCTCTTAGTAGCTGCATCTTATATTACTCAGGTACAAAGACCCGGTATGTGGGAGTGCGCTCGATCTGTTTTATATGTGCAAAGTGTTTGTTCCAGGAACTTCTTAAATTCCGGCACCAACTGCCTCAACTACATGCTGCGGCAGGTTCTTCCATACGTCCACCACTCTCCGTTCGAAACAGACTTGGTGGGCAACCCGCTTCCAATCCGATGCTACAAGCTTGTACTGGTGTCCTCGTGTGTTGCTTGGTGTGCGCAGATGCAGCAGCGGCCTCAACATGGGGTATTCACCGCGATGTAATATCCGGTGCATCATGATGAGGTCAACCCGCAGTCGACGATAAGCTAGAGTGTAAATCTTTAGTTTCTTATACCGGTCTTCGTACAGCGCATCTCGTAAATTGGTGCTCAAACTACTCGCCCGTCTTTCGTTACACGTACCTGCAGTGTTACTCATAGTTCACAGAGGTGCTGATCAGTGCACTTAACCTTTTTCCCGTCTCTAATCCGACGGAAACCCCTTGTATTCTGGTTTTTTCTTCGTTTGTTTTTACAAACCTAAGTCCTATCGCTTTGTCTATACTTTTTTTTATTCACCTCTTGCTGGACTCCTTTTGACTGGCCTAGCCAATTCCTTCCTTGTCTCGCAGATGTCACACACTCCGGTTTCCGTCCGCCTGTCAGATTCACCCTCTGGTTTGGAGGATAATCCCGTTCAGTTGACCAGTCCACTTTCGAGTGAACCCCACCCCAACATCCGCATGCTGGCCTACAAAGCATATTATTCTCCAATTCTTGGCCAAGAACAGCGGCTCACCGACCTAATCGAGGCACGCCACCGTATGGCATAGTGAGAAGTTACTTACTGCCCTCTGTGTTTTTCACTCACTTGTAAACTACGGTCTTCTCCCGTCTGCCAGTGTTCCCATACTTATCCGCAGTTTGTCCCATATGATCGAGCACAGCGATTAAAGGTTACATACATCGCTCCGTTTCCCCTCGCACCCACACCGAGGTGTGAGGTATCCAGTTGCAATGCCGGACATCGCCAGCATAATGACGATACATAAATAAACAGTATATTCTCGAGTATATAGTGGTTCTGATACCATTAAACACAGTGCGAGAGGAGTGAATCAGAAATACAATCATCAAATGATGCGAATATGGGCAAAGGGTAAGAGAACAAATACCAAAAAACGGCAGTGACTTCCCGATTGTGTCATATCTGCTAGCGACTGGTGTGCCTGCTCCCTAGATCCCCATTAGAGAAAACAAAGGACACCAATCTAATCCACTCTTTCGGTGAGTCTCTTCATACATTTTTCCTCATCATTAACTGCCGCATGGTTTCACCCAACTGAATGCGGTATTTGAGAACATCACACACAGAGACAGGCACTTCACTGGCATTTGGAACACATGACCAAGGCATCGATGGTCACCAGAATACCTAGTGCTAAACGGTGGATAGCCAATTGCAGCGCTCCGCATTCGATTCTCCAACCACACACAAACAATAATACGCAGACATTGGTGGTTAACATGGTCGGCCTCCTCACTGCTTGGTCGTCAGGTCTCTGAACCGCAGATTTATAGACTCCTCACTTAATCGTTAAGCTAATACCCCGCCGTCGCTGGCCGATGTTTTTTCTAAAAACCATATGAGCTTTAGCAATATATATGGTTGTCTCGCCATGAGGCTGGACCTTACCGTGGTGTGATGAATTGTTTGCCTCAGCGATCCATTGAGCTGTGCTGGGTGGTGCTTCTTGCATCTTCAGTGTCACTCATACCGGATTGGTCAATGGCTAGAGACCAGACAGACTCAGCCTCTTGGTCCTCCAAGCTGGGGTTGGAATGAGGGTGGCTGCTTATTCCATAAGACCTTCTTTGTAGCCCACTATCAACCCCGCTGCCTTGCGGTCAAGTTTTTGAACTAAAGGTATTGGTTGAGAACCCTAATCGTTCTACTGTTTAGGCCTGAGCAACCTGACAGTACATTATCCACACAGTACAATAAATCTACCCTCAAGCACTTTCTTGATACTCTAGTCGTCGCAAAGGCTAATCAACGGCACCCTATCCTCTTCATCACGCAGAGTGGATAAGTGTTTGGATGTTACTGCTCAAGCTTTCCCATCTTCTTACGCTTTTTCACCCTTATCGTCCCGCTCCAACTTTATTTTCATCCCTCTGTTTTCAAGCCTCCAAATCTTAGCCCTTCCCACCTTGCTTTGATAGCCGTTTATCTTCGGTACCTTTTCCTGATTGATTACATCCATAGTGCAATTGAATTGCTCCCTAAGGATCTGATTTGCATCCGTAAGCCAATTGAACGTAGTCCTTAACGCGTTTGAATTGCATCCAGTATCTTTCCGACCCACCATGCGCACAGTGTTCTTGGAATTGACCTGGCCCAAATCATCCAATGACGGTAGATGTAACAAAACTTGAATGGATGATATGAGATGATGGTATGCAGTTTACACGCGTTTGTGTTCTGACCTCCATTCAGCGACGAGTGCCTACTCTGAAGCTAGTCCCACGCAGGCTAGTGGCACAAGGTGGGTGGGCGTAAGTGGACCACCATGTACGTAAAGGCATACTTTGCGCACGGCACCAGTGGGGGCGGCTGCGAACACTACAATGCAACACTCCATTAGCGATCTTATGGCTAGTTTGGCATTGTGTTTGAGCCCACAATGATTAGGACTACCTACCACGCTCGGACTGCAAAGGAGCTTAGGACTGTACTGTGTCCGGATAGCAAAACACTCAGAGATGCATGACTGCGAATGATCGAGGCCTGTGGTACCAAAATGTTATAACCTGTTACCGAGCAAAGGGACAAAAGAGGTCTGCACAACTTATTGCTGAAATACGAGTTGGCAGGCGGCCGCTTTGGGTAAAAATGGAACTTCTTGAGCCGCAGTCTGCTTAGAGAATTACTGCCGAAATGCGACTACGGCATTCTTGTTACGAGCCGTGTAGGCAGCGGAAGATCTGTGCCGCTCTCGCCGGACGCAGTAGCCATACCATACAGCTCAAAATAAAGGTGAGGCATTGAAGGAATAAGTGCTGTTTCCGTGGGTAATGCGTAGGAGATCGCGATGACGCTGCACTGCTAGCAATTAGCATACAACTCATGATACACTGCGTACATTAGCACAAATTAGGCGCTAAAGCGAACGCAGTCGACCTCATAGATATCTGAAAGGCTTGGCAATAAGCAACAAACAGCTATTCCGCATTCTGAGATGGACCGGTTGCTTACATCCGAGGCGTTGTCTTAACATATCTCACAGTAACTATCCTCACACAGTGATATAGCACCTAGGGCATTATGCAATCTCGAGCTATCCGCAATAGTGCTTAATCTAGCAATCAATAAAATGACCCCTCCTTACCTTACTCCTTTTCCCACTACCAACTACCCGTCATTCCCGCTCCATCAACTGGCCATATCCGTAACAATACATCAGCTCACATCATTAGCACACTGTAGTCCCGATTGCCAGGAATCATACGGATACCCTCTGGTTGTCTCGCAGCGCCTAACGCGGAAACATGCGAGAACTGCAATAGCACTTAGTCTGAACATTCTCGTTTATATCTGAATGTCGAAACAATTCGCGTTGCATAACAGTGACAATACCAGTTTAAATTATCTACATTTATGCCAACAAAATAAAAGGAAGTTACAAATCAATACAATGTATTGCACGATCGTAATTCCTCCTTACCTGATCTATCATGTACTGGCACAAAACCATGGACTGTATTACAACGTTCTCATCCGCTACTGTCTCTGCTAGTCACTTTCACGCTACTTCATCACACGCCAATTGTTTGTTTGTTAACAATCCTCACTTTCCGTTACCCGATTCATGTGTTCAACAATCTGGCTGCGATTCCGGTTGCGCCACAGACCAAGGAATTCAACCTATGGCTCTCCTTCGTCCCCGATCCTCGTTCCGTCTGTCGTGCTTCAACGTCCGGACACTCATGCAGATTGGACAGCAAGCCGGTCTAGCGCGCACTCTAGATTCCCTTGACATTGATGTCTGCTGCCTTTCAGAAACCCGATTGCAAGATCCCAGCACTGTACTCACATTGACATCCCCCACTGACCACGAAGCCAGATATTACCTGCGTCTTTCTGGAGATCCAGAAGCAGCCTCGGCGGGTTTGGCTGGTGTAGGTATAGCACTGAGTGGCAAGGCCGAGGCGGCACTACTGGACTGGTTCCCTGTTAATAGCCGACTATGTGCAGTTCGGCTTCGGGGTTCATGTAGAATCAACAGACACCGCGACGAGCGACACAACTTGTTTGTGATCTCCGTGTACGCTCCAACTGACTGCAGCGGCGACTCGGTCAAGGACGAATTCTACCGGGATCTACAACAGCTCTTGACTAATGCTAAAAAGTCGGATGTCGTTATCCTTGCTGGGGATTTTAATGCACGGGTTGGCCGCCTGTTCCCATACGAACGCCACCTTGGTGGTCATCATTTGCTCGATGAGAACCGCTCTGATAACGGAGAGAGGCTTCTCACATTGTGCGAAGACAATCGTCTGTTTCTTTCGAGCACTAACTTCAGGCGTACGAAGAAGCGTTCCGCAACGTGGCGTCCCTCTTCGTCAACACAACCGTGGTCTCAAATTGATCACATTGCAATTAGCTACAGATGGCGCGGCAGCGTACTGGACTGCAGGTCCTTTTGGTCCACCTTCGTTGACTCAGATCATGCTCTGGTCTGCGCGAAAATCTGTATGTGTTTTGGAGGATCCCGAAACACGAAGCATCGCAAGATTGATGTAAACAGATTAACTGATTCCTCTGTCCAGGCAAGCTATCAGTCTTCACTGGCATATGCACTCAGTTGCACACCACCGCAAGAAGTGGAACAACACTGGACTTGTATACGGAAGGCAATGACCGTTTCCGGCCAGTCATGCTGCGGCCTAACTCGACGACCCTTGAAGGCTTGGATCTCTGCTCGTTCTCTGGAGCTGTTCGAACGCCGCAAAGATATCCTTGCGGGATCAGATTGCAACGAGCGGCGCCGTTCTGCCAACCGACTGCTCAAGCAAAGCCTACGCAAGGATCGCGAGACATGGTGGTCTGAGCGTGCATTAGAGATGGAGACCGCTGCCCTCTCTGGCAACACTCGCAGGCTTTTTCAACTCATTCGGTCCACTGGCCTCAGGAAGCCTGATGTCAGTGAGGTCATTTGTGAGGTGGATGAGTCTCCGATCACCAACCAACAGAGGCGTATGGACCGCTGGGCCGAGCACTTTCACTCGCAGTTCAACTGGCCTCCACCATCCATCAGTACATGCAGTACACGTTGTTGTCCACCCTGGCTCGTCCCTCTGAATCCACCCAGCGAGGCGGAAGTCTGCCTCGAGATTCGACGTTTGAAGCGCTTCAAGGCTGCCGGCTTAGACGGACTTAATCCGGAACTATTCAAGTACGGCGGTGTGGCAGTCATTAACCAGTTAACCGCGCTGTTCGCAAAAATTTGGCATGAAGAGAAAGTGCCTTCCACTTGGGGCGAATCAGTTATTGTCCCGATTTTCAAGAAAGGCGCTCGCACTTCATGTGCAAATCATCGCGGGATTAGTCTTATTTCGGTTGCCTCTAAGCTATTGGCATCCATTCTGCTTCGTAGGCTATCCCCAGTACGTGAATCATACTACCGTGAAGAACAAGCTGGTTTCCGTCCTGGCCGCGGATGCGTGGATCAAATCTTCACGCTTCGCCAGCTCCTCGAACATCGTCACATTCATCACAGGCCCACTATCATTGCATTCCTAGACATACGTGCCGCTTTTGACTCCGTT